TATGAAGATCAGTTATTTGGAAGGGAAGAAGAGGCATGGAAGATATGTGGGATGTCTGTAAAGGACTGACCTTGACGATTCCATTGCCTTAATTCACTCAGATAACTCCACCCAGATTCAAGGAAATCCAACAAATGCAGTCTTCCTGTGTATCCAGATAGAGAAAATGGTGTGATGAATGCATATCACTATCTCTGACACAATTTCACATTCTTTTATTCCTAATTTTTTGGCCAGCATCCATAGAACAGTATAAAATATTAAATAACAATGATGATAAAGGACATTTAAGTCTTATTTCTGATTTTAATGAAGACTGTTCTCACCATGTTTCCATTAAACAAGATGACAGATTTGGGGAAGAGATTTGTATATTTTATCATACTAAGGAACTGTTTTATCTCTTTCTTTGTTAACAGGTTTTTACTTATTTAATTAATCTTATATGTTGAAATAGGTCAGATATCATCTCAGCAATTATGGAGATAATTTCCTTTTCAGTTGCTTAATATTGGGGATACTATTTATTAGATTTCATAATGTTGAATGACTTTTCTTGTTCCTTGCATAAAGTTTAATTTATTATGATATCTATAACATATATGTAATTATACATATAATGTTTTTGAAAAGCTGGATTCTGCTTGCTGTTATTTTATTTAAAAGCTTTGCATCGAAATTCAGAAGCAAAATTGAACTGCAGTTTCTTTTTCATTATTTTTGTCAGGTTTTGCAACTCATGCAGTGAATTTCGGAGCTTGCTTTCTCTAGTTTCTGGAACTGTTAAAGTTATATCTGAGTTAACGGATTCTTCAAAGAGAGAAAGAATTCCATCGCGCCTGGACCAGTTAATGTTGTTGTGGGTCTATGTTTCAAGCACACTGTCAGCCAGGCCTATCAATGTTCCCCATTGTCAGTCTCCAACATATCTTTGATTACAGCTACAACATTTACAAATTTTAATAAGAATGCCCATGCTCTTTTTCTGGCCCTCAGTATGCTCTTTTATCATAGCAGTCTGCTCTTATTTATTACTGCTATATTCCTGAAACTATATCTGAAGTAAAACATTGATTTTTTAAAAATGCCTCTCTAGTTTTCTACATTGCCTCTGCTCTCAGTGAGGGTGGTGCCCCTGCTTCAGGGAGCTGTGACTGTTTACCCTCTCCCTCTTTTGAAACTGCTGATCCTGCTAGTGTATTCAGTCTTTACTGCCTGTCTTTGTCAATGCAGGTGTAGCTAAAGCAGTACTCCGAGCTGATGTAAGTTCCTTCAGTACTGGTGTAGGTCTGGCTACGTGGCTTTCTGGGCAGGGATGGACCAGTGAGTGGCAAACATACCATGGCACATCTTTGGTGTCAGTGGGCCAAGCAGTAGAGTTGGCTCTCTCTCCTTTTACGCCCTCCTTCCCCACAACAAGGAAGAGGATGACTATTGGGTCTGCAAGTTTCTCTCTGGATGTAGTGAGTGAGACGGTGAATACACGAATAACCTCTCAAATATGATGAATGGGGTGGGTATGGCGTTCTAAGTCCCTCTGCCACCAGGACTCCTGTAAGTTTATTTAAGGTGAACTGAGCAATGTCTACCTGATGGACAGCTTTTGTTTCATAGTTGCTCTCCCCTCATTGGCTCTGGTAATAGCTCCCTCCCTTCCTCTGACAATGTCTCTTCTACCCCTCCAATCATATTAGGAGTTCATATTATTAAAGGTTGTTTGTCAAAGAAACTTACCTATCTCCCTCCCATGTTGAGCCACAGTAGAGGGCACGTGACTAATTCTAATGTAAGTGTTGTTTAAAGAAGTCCATCATGAGACCTTATCAACCTGCCCATAAATGGGTCCAAAGGTTGAATGGTGATCCAAGCCAGAGTTTATCAGAGTCTTTCCCTGGAAGTTTCTGTAAAGTAGCTCTCAGATAGTCAAGCTGTGAAGATGTGAGCTTAAAAGATTTAAATGGCCAGCTCCCTAGTCACAGGGAGAAAAACTGGGAAGCCAAAGAAGCTGATGTGCTGTGAGTGCTTGGTTGTGGTCACCACGTTTCCTAGAGGACCAGGTTCCTGCTTTCCCTCAGCTGTTCGGTCTTCAAGTGCCCGGAGCTCCCAAATAGCTCCCTTCTCTGCCTGTGTCAGTGCCAGCTGGAGTTCTTCCTTTTAACAAGGGGTATAAATATAGTGAGTATGGGGATCCATACTTTTTTGCTCTTCATCTATTCCATCCAGTGGAAATCTAATTCTTCAGGTGGGGCCCTTGCTGATTTCTAGGGCTTGGACAAGATTTTCCTTTCTACATTCATTGAACTGCCTCAGCAGGGACAGCGAGAGGGACAGAGTCAGCGTCGTGCTGAGGTCACTATCTTGGAGATATCTCTCTGCATCTGATTTTGAAACTTTCCTTCTGTGCTAATTTTCTTTCCTCCTTCCTTTCTGAATCCGTTGTCATTATTTTCTTTCTCTTTCTGAAATATGAGCCAGTTCCCCCCTAAACACTACAACTGGGAAATCGTGAAGAAAATCAATGTTTATAGTAAGATGTAATAGGATTTGTAAAATAAATGTGTAATAGGGCATCACTACCATACAAATATTATTTCAGAAAAAAATTTTAAGTATCTAGCAATTTCAGCTACTTAAGTTTTCTGTCTTGGACTAGGCACAGGCAATTTCTGAGAGCCTGGTGTGAGCTGGGGCACACACTCACCATCCTGGGCTAGACTCCGGAGCAGTTCCTGCACTTTGGTGCAACTCAGTAATTTGCCCGATGTTTTCCACAGATCCTTTGACTTCCGTTTGAGACTTGAAAAAAGTATTCCATTATTACAGCAGCTAGAAATTCTCCTTTATACTTGGTTGCTAAACAAAAACTAGTACAGAAAGGAAGAAGTTGGGGCTACAATCTAAAGTACTGTCTTTGCAGAAATAGACTCATGGACAGAGAATACAGACTTGTGGTTGCCAGGGGGGTGGAGGGTGGGAAGGGATAGACTGGGATTTCAAAATTGTAGAACAGATAAACAAGATTACACTGTATAGCACAGGGAAATATACACAAAATGTTATGATAAATCACAGAGAAAAAAATGTGACAATGAGTGTGTATATGTCCATGAATGACTGAAAAATTGTGCTGAACACTGGAATTTGACACAACATTGTAAAATGATTATAGATCAACAAAAAATGTTAAAAAAAAGTCTGTCTTTGTTCTTGAGGAAAAAAACCTTTTTTTCTCCAAAAAAACTATGAGAAATTGGAATGCTCAATATCTGCTGATAACATACTTGAGCAGTTTTTTTTTAATTTGAAGCAGAACTTTGTTCATGGGATGCTTTTATGACTGTTGATAGCATTTTTTGATAAGGTTGCATAAAATTTAACCAGTCTTGATACTGGCCTTACAACCTTGATACTGGCCTTACACATCCTTTTCTTGTTCCTCCTCTTATGACAGTATCGAGACACTTTTCTTTTTTTCTATGAACACCCCACTCACCAAAAGACTCTTTGAGCTGTCTTTCTGTCTCTGGCTAGCTGCTTTGCCACAAGTCTAAAACAAAACTGAGGTGTGCCTGCACGGCATCTACCCGAGAGGGTAGCTCTAACACACTGTGAGACTTGCATTGGGTGAGAAAAGGCAGGCAGCTTGGGTTTTCCTGGCTCTCCTGCCCCCTTACATCTCTGACAATGCTGCCTGCCCCTGCACCTCAGTGCTTGCACTCACCTCCAGATTTTATATTGAGACATTTTCTTTTCCAATTTAGAACTCCCTGTCTTATTTAGAACTGCCACTCCCAGTCCATTCCATGCTTTCCTGAACTCTGAAATGCCATCTCTGTAAAAGGAACTTCCCTAACTAGCCTCTTCGGGTTCTAGTCACTCTTCTGCTGTCCGTTAGCACTCTCCGACGTGGCACACTGCTGGATGCACCATCTAGCCTTCCCCTAAGTTGCTCTCTGTGTACATGCTGTAACTCTCGGTTGGCTGCAAACTATTTTGATGCCTCTGGCAGCCCTTTGGTGGTGATAATACTAATATTAAAAAGCTAGCATGGAGGGTTTATTATGCTCCAGACACAATGCTAAGCAATTTACTGGCAAAGTACTTAGCACACTGCTTAGCACAGAGTAAAGGTTTGTTATTAGCACTATGTATAGCCCACTGAGCTTGGTACCATTATCTCCATTTCACAGATAAGGAAACTGTGAGGCATCGAGAGTTAAATAACTCGTACAGGGTCACAGAGCTCATGAAGTGGCAGAGACAGAACTGTTTGGCACCAATATCCATGTTCTTAACCATTACCCCCCAAATTGGCTACATACACACAAGTTAATTGGTCTCATTTTCACAATTATACTCTTGCACTTTTCAGAGCAGTGGAAGGTGTACTCAAGATAGGTGTTACTTTGGAATTCTTTCCTCTTTAAAAAATTCAGCTGCCTCATAGATATAAGGGAAAAGGCACAAGTAAGCTTATCTTCCTGAAGAGTTTCATTTTGAAAATTCCAAGGCCATTGAGATATGTTCCCTGAGGGAGACTGGTGAGTTTTTAAAAACTAAGTTGCTGAGGAACTGTTTTTTTTAACCTTTACTATGCTATACTTCAGTCAACTTCTTTAGTTACATTTCCTTTAGCAGTTCTCAGCCACTAATACCTTATATTTGCTCTCGTAGAAAGAACAGGACTATGTCAAGGGCTGAGCAATATCAAAAGTCCATAGGTATATTTAGAATATAAATGATTAATAATAGTATTAGAGACTCAGCCCTGATGGTGTAATGTATCTCACTTCTTAACGTTATTTCAGTTGATGCTCACAATTGTTCCGTGATGTAATGGTTTTCCTCATGGTCATGTTGCTAGATTGTAGAGGGAGAAATGCCCACTTCCGCCGTTCTAAAGAGGCTTTTCCTTACCTTCCCTTCTCCCTTCCTTCTCCTCCCACACTCTGCCTGCCTTCCCCTTTCTTAGCCTTCTGAGCCTGCTTGAAGGGAACCGAGGATCTTCAGACCCTGGAGCCAGGGGCCCTCTGAAACGCTCCCGGATCCCTGGGGACTAGTCACGTGACGGATTCTCAACTCAAGCAGCCCGGGTGTCATAACCTTTCCCACTGAGGCAGCAGCTCTGCTCCCAGATCCCACCCCAGGAAGCCTGGGCTCCACCCACCCCTCGGGCCAGAACCCGGCACAATCGCCCCATTCTGGGTTTTTAGCTTGGAGGCGACTACAAGTGCTAAAGGCGCGTGGCGAAAAAGGTGTCACTTAGGAGAGAGTTGGTTTTCTCCAGGGACTTCAGTAGGCGGCAGCAGCCACGCTCCACCTGGGGCAGCGCGGCGGCTAACGTGTGCGCTGGGCCGGGAGGATGCGCTGGCGGCGGGACTCGAACCCCGAGCGGCGCGGCGCCCCGCGGTCCCGTCTGCTCTGGCCGCCCAGGTCCGAGTGGGAGGAAGGCGCGCACAGCTGTCTTCCGTCGGGCTGAGGCCTCCCTCCCGGCCGACTCCCCTCTCTCCCGTCTCCCGCCCCAGAAATTATCTCAAGCGTTGCCAGTGCGATTCCAGAGCCCCAGTCGGGTGGGTTCTTTTGTTTCTTTGTTTTAATGACAGTTCCTAGCCCTTCGGCATGTCATGCGCGATTAATTCCCTGGCTCTCTCGAAAGCAGCTGGGGTGAAATTTCTTCTGCATCATCCTTTTGGGGATAATTGTTTATGATGTGACGTCAGCCGGATTGATTTTTCTCTCCTGAATGAGAGAGAGAGTCACAGATGTGTGCGGAGGCCACGGATACTGACATTTGGAATTCCTTCAGGGCAAAAGGAGCTGGGAATGGGAGCTTGAGTGTGCAGCCAAGACTTCAGGCTGCCCGGAATTATTATGAAATTTTTACTTTAAAAAAAAAAGAAAGAGAGAGAGAGAGAGAAAGAAAGAAAGCCCCTCCGCAGCGAGCCACTTAGGTGCTCCTTTCATGCCAGAGTCCCCTGTTAAGGTGGCAGCGCCTGACAATTAATCTCGGGTACCCAGCCGCTGCGAACGGCTTCAGAAGACGAAGAGGAGGGGCGGGGGAAGTGCGTCACCAGGTGGGGAAGGGGCTGTGCATTTGGTGACAAGCCGGAGGGGTTGGGGGTGGAGGGATGGAGAGGAGTGGGGACGGGGAAGAGGTTCTGTGTGCTCTCCGGGGGTATTGTGTCAGGAGATGCAGGCTGCCTACCATGTGACGCGGTCCAGAGCTGAAGGGATTGGCCGAGGCAGCGCAGGCGGTGCAGCTCGGCCGGCTTGCTGTTCCTCTCCCTTTCTCTCGCAGCATCTTCCTGGGAGCCTGTAGGTGAAGCAGCACCAGCAGCATCCATGGCCTATCTTTGGGGTTAACACTTGTCTCCTTTGGCTTCAGCAGCGGACAGAGCAGATCTCTCGGCAGCGGCAGCGTTGTGAGGACTTAGCTGGGACCTGGAATCGTATCCTCCTGTATTTTTTCAGACTCTTTGGAAATTAAGGAATGCAATTCTGCCACCATGATGGAAGGTAGGATGCTTTCTGCTGTAGTTGACTGGCTTCAGGCAAGATTCGGGCAAAAACAGCGTTGAAATACGTGTGCAGCCTGTATTTGTGGCTGGTCTAGAACCTGGTTGCCAGCATTTGCAAGCAGAATGCTGCAGTTTGCTTGCAGTGGACCAGGGCTCAGACTGATGGAATCAAACCATAGGGCTTCTGTTTAGCTCAGAACCTACAGAGCTCCCAGTTCTTTTGAGAGAGAGAGAGAAAAAACCTAAAGTGCCTGCAGGGAGCTGAGATAGAGCTTGCAAAGCAAAGAAGTTGGGAGATAAGATGAGGTTTTCTGTTCTGGGTTCCTGGGACTACACTGATAAAACATTTACAATGGAAACTTGTCGTCTGAAATTGACATTAGACAGGAGAGGTCATTGACAGAGTTATCCACACTGTCATTTTCAGTGAACTGTATAAAAAATTTTTAAAAAATTCTTGTAAGGTATTTTTATCTCTGCCATTTACATCATACTATTGAGGTGAGAGGTGCAGCGAATTTGGTCCATAAGCTATAGTTTTAAGGGGCTGTCATTGCAATAGAAGGAGCAATATGAGGAAAATATCTGGGCCTCTTGGCTCCTGATTCAGGGTCTTATCAGGTTAAAAAGAGAATTTTGTGCTTCCTAAATGCATTCCTTATGCAACGGTTCTTAGCCAAGCATCAGATGATTACTTACGATTACCTTTTTGTATTCAATATTAAGTGCAAGGAGGAAGTTTCCCTGGGGAGATGTTTAAACTGTATTTTATTCTCCTAAATTACCCTTCCAGGCTTGAGATGGTGATAGCCAAGATTGCCTCGAAAAAGCAGCAAGCTGATTAAGAAAGAAGCAGGCAGCCCTATCCTGGCTTTGATTTTCTGTTTTCACACTACAGGATGGTGCAAAACTCCTGGCCTTTCCTAAGATGACAGGCAGAAATTTGTCCCCAGCCTGGATTTCACACTGCAGAATCCAGTGCATAATGGGTCTCAAATCAGCCATGAAAATGGCAGAGAGGCCACCTCTTAAGCTACGGTCTGTTTTACAGATTTTAAACATTTCTTAGAAATTTACCAAAATGGAATAAGAGGAGAAAGGTTGAAAAAAACAAAAACAAACAAACAAAAAACCCCAACAGCGTTGCTTGTACTTATGTGGCAGAAATAAATTCTTTTTGCTCTCTCTGTCATCATGTCAAACATTGTTAATGTGATTTGGGAGAGTGAAGAATTCTACAGTCGTGGCCCACAGATTTTAGAAAATTGCCTTAAAAGAGAGATTGGGTACGTCTTGTCAGGGAGCCTGGCCTGAGTAGTTTTTTAAATGCAGGCCTAAATAAACTGTGACTACTGACTCTCTAAGATTAAATCATTTTCATGAATTCAAAATGGGTTTAATCTTTGAACAATAAAGCAAGGCAAACAGAAAGAGGGTTACTGATGTACTTTTCAATTAAAAGCTCACGTGGCTTACCCTCTTCAGGAAAAAAAAAAAAATAAAGATTGTGTCTATAGAAGTGCTAGCTTTCCCCAGCTGAATTTCACATAACATTTCTTCAAAATAAATCTGCACACATTCTGATTGGATTTTAATCTTACATAGGGAAGTGGAAGAGCTTTCATTTGACTTCTTACCTTGCAAACTATGTAGTTAAAGAATCTTTGAAGGAAGCAATATTTATTGATGCTCATTAGTGATTCTCCTGGTAATATTGTCTATTGTGCCATCCCAGAGTGTCAGTTCAAAGCCCTGTGATAAGCTTATCTGAGCTGCCTAAACGTGAGAACTGTAACAAAGACTTGTGTTGGAGCCGAATTAACACTATTGCTTTGCGTTTGCCAAATTTATCTAATGAAGGATGTTATCTTAGGACTTAGGAATTAAAGGTGACACCAGGGATGCGGTTGCCGGCCATCAGATCCTTGCAAAAGAAATTGGACAGGTGTTCTAGTGCCTTAAAAATTGAAATGCTACTTATAATTTTTTATCTATCTGTAGTTCCTACTTAAATGCTTTTCAAGGCTTATTATCTTAATGATTCAGTGACCTTAGAAAGGCTGGTGGGAACCTTAACCAGAAACCAATTTGTCTACCAATGTCTTTCTCTAAGTTAGTTGCCAGTCTTTTTGGCAATATATACACATTTCTGATATTGCATCTCAGAAGTTCACCTCTGAATTGCTCTCACTCTGAAAGTGTGTTGTAGCAGTTATCATTTACATTTAGCTCACCCGTAGAGGAAGCACAGCTTCCATCTATCACAATAGCCTTGGAAAGACAAGAAACCCCTTGAAAGGCACCCTAAAATCTTGTCATGGCAGCCGTCTGCTGAAACATCAGGGGGCTCTGAGAATGTATCCCCAAACATCCAGATAAAAGGCTGTCTCTTCTCCACTAGTACGTGTGCCACACACACACACACACACATAGTTGCACACATATGTCATTCACACGTATACACTATTCTAGAAAGGGAGAGAACCCACATTTGCATTTTTGTGTATATATTTCCATATTCACTCAAGTGTTTTAATCTACTGCTCAGGAAAAGCACGGCCTTGGCAACTTTTCAAAGCTACTTCTCTCCTTTGTGTGAAACAAGAGTAAACAAATATTCATCAGAACGGCTCATGGTTTAATTTTGTGTTCTCATTTTGGTGGAACAGGATTTAGGCTCCGTTCATTCAATGCCTATTGGAAATTCTGGCCATAGGAGAGAAATGTTACTACCTCCCCAGTGATTCTAATATCATAGAAGGCAGTGAAATAATTCTGCAGGGACCTCAAGCATGGTACTGGCAGTCTGTGGCTCCGTGATCCATTTCAAATACTTATATTTAAAAAAGGATGTCTTAAGGAGCTTGATTTGTTGATATCTGCAGTCTTGATTTTGGGGCAGTAATTAATATTGTGTCTTTCCTAAAGAATGCCACGTGATGTGGAGCCTTATATAGTCCGTGCAGGGAAAGAGGATGAGAAATGGAATTATTTGCTAAAGGGTATACATATTGGCTGAGCTTACAACGCAGCCCATGTGATTAGGGCAACTGTTCAGGGATTCTATTGTTTTTCGTATATTATTAGTTAAGTTTGCAAGTGACATTTTAGGAAACTTTTCTGAGACAAGTAAAACTAAGTCATGGTTTCTAGAGACATCTGTTCTTTTGTAAGGCAGTCTGGGACATGGTCCCTTGTCTGGTAGAACTGGACAGAAAGTGCACGTTTTCAGTTCCATATTCAGGCTTTTAGGGGTTTTACTGGAAGGAAAAGTTTTTTAGGGGGGTCAATGATTTCATCCTATATATAATTCTTAAAGTTAACAAGCATATGTTTAAGAGTTTACTGGGTTTAATTGCAATGTGCAGGGTGATTTAATAAATTTTATTATGTTTACTATTCACAATAACCTGCAAATAAGCGTGTTCTGCACTGAGTACTTCTCCAGTGCTTTTTCTAAAGAGCAAAAATGAAAAATAATACACTGAGGCAGAAAAATGGTGGGATGGAGTTTGGACCTAAGTTCATTCAACAACAAAGCTCATACTTTTGGTCTCCCATAACATCTTAAACGTGAACTCTTCCTTCTAATTCATGTCAAGGTGGGGATGTTAACCTGGTGGAAAACTAATTTCTTTGGTTGTATATTCTGTCTTTTAAATACGAGTACTCACAGAGCCATACCTCTTAGTTTCGTGTTAATACCTTTTATCTCCGAAATCAATATTTAGAAAAATTTGAACAAATTCTAGATTAATTGATCCTGTGTTGTTGAAGTGAACCTTATAACAATAAAAGCTTCCCCCCCCATCTAGAAATGGGGCTTATTTATTTGGAAAATTCTGTGCTGTAATAAGAAAGGAACGAAGCATTTTGAAGCTGGAACTGTTCATTTTTCTAGTTAGCGAAGAAGTTTTAAAGGGAATCCTTTTCACTCTCCTACCAATTCCCTTTCCAGAAATGGTGAAGTTATTTTGGAAAATCTTAAGCATGGATATGAGATTATAATATATATTCCATCACTTATGTAATTTCTCTCTTTCCTAAAGGGCTCTGGGTCAGAAAAAGCCTCCTTTTATGTATAAATTCCCATTCAATTTCCAAAGGCCAGCTTCAAATCTCTAAAAAGAACGTGTAGTCTTCAAAAAAAAATTAACTTAGATGAACCATGCTGGAAGACTGTGGATAATTCTGCCTGTTGGATTTGGCACAGACACTATCCATGTTTCCAGTAAACAAGTTGTAGGAAGTACAACTCACAATATTTTTGTTCTTGAGTTTGTTTGTGATTTGGTCACTGGAAACAAGTTTTCTTGTAGGAAAAATTGTATCAGTGATGACTGGATTCTCACACTAGTCCATTAAAGATGGTTAACCCATTACCTAGCTAAAACACTAAACGTTTCCCATGAAATGTGTAAAAAAATACGGTTACTGTAGTAGTCCGTTAAAAGACAATAATGGCACTAAATGTGTTTTCAATTTCCAATATTGCTATTTGAAGGAAAAAAGGGTTCCTTAGAGGTCAGCGAGGAAATGGAGAGAAATTTTGAAGAGTGGTTGTTGTTTTTTGGTTTTCGTTTTTTTGTGGGGGTTTTGGGGATATATTTAGAAGTTTTAGAGACTCGTGACACGCGATTTTTCGCTTGTGTTCAGTGTTAACTTCCATACTTGTGGTTTACCTATTTGTGACTCAGTTTTATCATATCTACTACTATTTAATTGTGATGATTTTCATTCTGTAAACTCATGAATGGAATGAAGAAAAGGGTAAAGGAGTTGGAAGAGGGAAAAAGGTGAAGGGATTATGATGGATATGAACTCATGTTTCTGAAGAAGTCCCTGAGGAGACATTGACTGGAGACGGAAGAAGTCATAGACAGAAGGGAACTGGGGAGCTTGGTGAGTGCGGGATCCCCTTGAGGAAAAAGTAGGGTGTGGGGCAGAGGTATTGGATCTAGCTGGCTTGTGCACCGACTACCTAATATTTCCATATGC